CCCAGTATACGGAGAGGTCGTATCAGGAAACCTATGGTTCGCAATGAAAATAGAATTAAAAATCCCACATCTCAGGATGTTTCTGGTCCGGGGAATGTTGCTATTGCTAGCCCCTTTATACTAACGACCGTAGCATTAGGATTTAAGGTTTGAGGTTTAGGGTGATGATATGGTTCTGTTTTCCTTTGGTTCGCAGCACAACCGCCCTTAACCTTGCTATGAACTTAAATCCTGAACCGACTGTCATGAGGAAGTTTCAGGCCAAGACTTCAATCAGCCCAACTGTTCAGCTACCTGTGCAGACACTAGTTTTCGGGGTAGATGCCAAAGATGCTGAAAGCTATCTTGCCAGTTTGCCAGGAACATAAGCATGTATCTATACAGGGTAAGATGGCCCGCTTTTCCCTTGCAATGTCCGCGTGCATCCCCATGCAGGGCGGACCGTGTAACAAAAGACAGCAGTGACCGGAAATGGGGTACACAGCAACCTTCTTGGGGACTGCCTGCTCGCCGACCAACGCAATGTTCGTACTGGAGGCTAGGGAGGATAGCTACGGAAGGCGCTCTTGCTCCTGACGGTGCTGTGTGTGCTGGCGACCCTGCAATGTCAGAACTGATGTCTGCATGCCTAAGATTGGTCCTTTTTTCCGGCGTGCCACCGCGCAGATTCATAGCGCAATCACAGTAGGTTGGTGGGCTGAGCATCACTGAAATCTAGAACCTGGGCCAAACTGAACTGCGGGGAATCACCTACTTGGTGTAGCTTGAAACGCAAGGTTCAGGTTCATGAGACCTAATTTTGGGAAACCCCGCATGCAGGTTACGAAAATCACAGGGAAAGAGTCCTACGAGTTTGGCGACATCTCGCGTGAGATTGCCAGGCGCCCATGATAGCCTGCAGGGTCCTGGAGGAGCGATAAATTTTTTTGGGTGCCTAAGTGGGGATTTTCCAAGAATTTGGGGTACCATTTTGGAGGTCCCCATAATAGGAATTATAGTATTTTGGTGTCTATGTTGGGGTCCGCCTATTTGGGGAAATTACCGAGTACATTTAGGGAGTCGTATAGGCGGGGAGTCAGGCTTCTACATTACTTCGTGGTGCAGGCCTCTTACATATGGGCTCCTTAAGTTGGACTGTGGTTCTAAGTCTGGAACTTGAGGTTCGGAGCGCCAGAGGTTGATAGGCCAGTGTTTACCCTAGATCCTGAACCTTGAGTCTCACCTAGTTTTGCGGGCGTGCCACGACTGGGTTCAGGGATATTTGGGGCACAGCATAGCGAGTCCTTACCTGGTAAAGATTTGGATTCTGATTTTAGGGTTTAGGTTTAGGCACTGCTTATACAACTTGAAGTTTAAGGACCCTAAACCCAAGGTCCGCTTTGTTGCTAGACTTAGGTCCTCAGGGGGTTGGCTAGGGAGAGCTTACGCACTGCCATGGAACCATGCTAGCACAGAGAGAGAGGATACCGAAATTACGCTATACCCCACATTGCTTTGGGCTAAAAATAACTCAGATTGCGTGTGTTTTTGCACCTCCCACACCTTATGTAGTGAAGCTACAGGTAGCACTCAGGAAGGGGGCCCTAAACCCTAAACCCTAATCCCTAAACCCCTAAACCCGAAACCCTAATCCCTAAACCCTATACCCTAATCCCTAAACCCTAAACCCTAATCCCTAAACCCTAAACCCTAAATCCCTAACTGTGGGCTGGCAAAACGACCAGCTCCAAGATCCTTCCGGGGAGTTTTTAAAGGGATCCTCCTAGGCTGTGTGGGGAAATATATAAAAGCTCCTTAAAGGGGGTTATAGGGGGTATTACATAGGGTTATATAGGGGATTATATGGGGTTATATAGGGGATTCTAAAGGGTTATACAGGGTCTAGGGTTTAGGGCTTAAGGTTTAGGGTCTAAACTCCTTAAAGGGGGTTATATCAGGAATTATTTTGGGGACTACTACAGGGGTTATTAAGGGGGATACCAAGAGTTTAGACTATGGCTCATGGGAAGAAATATGGGAGAATTCATTTCCCATAATGGCTTTCTGAACCGTGTTCCCCCACGCCGCAAGCAGGCGGTCCTTGTCATGGAGCCTCGAAACAAGAGTCCACAATGCGGAGACCCGAAGAATTCCAATATTATTCCCTAACCCTAAGGCTCCAAATAGCCCAATCTAGGTCATATTCATAGACTTTGGGGCCCAATGTAGGCATTGTTTATAGACATGGAGCCCTAGGGTAAGGGTTCTACAGCCACTGTATGTTGACACAGTTTCACCAAGGCCCTGCCTTAATTAAAGAGGCCGCGGCATTGATCTTGACACAGCCTGCAAACACTCCTTACCTTGCTGGTTCAAGTCTTAGCAGGGAGAAAGGGAATACAATCATCATAGAATCACTATATAATATATTCCCTCATTCTCTACTAAGAACCATTAAAGTTCCGGCTCCAGAGCCGTCCACCATGCGAGCATGCCGACCTTTGGAGGTCCAGGGGCAGTTATAGCTATGATTTATGATGGCCCCTGCAACCCAAATTTAAGCCCTTAGCCCTCTGAGAGCCTTATAGTCTATGTTTAACGACCCACGGACCTCCGCGCACATCCCTGAATCCTAAATGCATAAGGGTCCAAGGGCCCAAATACTATAATATTAGCGGTATTTGGGCCCTAAAACCCCATTATTTGGGTCCTTGGACCCTTAGGGAAATCAGATGGTAGTTTCCATTCCCTCTGTCATTACTCTCAGGTACGTACCCATGAGCCTGCTTAAGGATAGACTACCATTCCTTATGGCCCCCGGAACCCCAAACCCTCAACCGTGGTTGCAGGAGAGTACAGGAGTCGGAAGTCGTGGATGAAGAGGACACTTACTTACTGGGGTTAGTAGGGAATAAGGGGGTATATTATGTAGTACATAGGATTATCTGGGATTGTATTCGCTGATGGCCTACTAACCACCAGTAAGTTTAGGGTTAGGGCAAGGTAGTGTATGGTGTTCACACATCAATATGCAGTCCTCCTTGCATACCTGGACATTCAGTGGCTTAGGAGCCACTACGTTTAGTTCCCCCTGTTTCAAAGCTTCTGTCTACTTCAGCCTGCCGGTTTGTTGCAACGGCTCCAGAAGAAGCCTAAACCCTAAGCCTTAAACCCTAACTAGTAGTTTCTATTTTATTTTCCCTTATAGTCACCCTTAAGTAGATAGAAGATGAGGTATATCGGGATCTGATTATAAGATACCCAAAGCCATACTCTATCTACTTAAGGGGGATTGTATCCCTATCTGCCCAGGAGGGCCTGATTACGGCATAAGCAAACCTGAACAGCAGGATCTGCGACTCCTGCTTCAGGCGGTGGTTGCGTTAGGAGCCATGGCAGCAACATCATGACTCTAAGCTCTCGGGATCCAAATAGCCCAATGAAGGTAATATTTACAGCCTTTACGGCCCAATGTAGGTATGATTAGTATAGAGTGACTTTATTGGGAACCCCAAACACTTAAATTCTATTATACTCCAGCTATATTCTTGGGGTTCCCTGTTTGGGGTTCCCAATGAAGTAAGTCCCTTTATGGTATACTCGGGTAAAGGCTTGGGGTTGGACTTACGGAAGCTTGAAAAAGGGGCCCCTACACAATGTTCTTGCAAGAGTGTGGTGTAGAAGCTTGACAGTTTGGTAAGGTTACGCCTGATGAAGTTCGGGTCGTATAGTACCCTAATAGGGCTTTAGGGCCCAAATGCCATTCATGTTATAGTATTTGGCCTCAAAACCCTATTATTTGGGTCCTTGGACCCTTACGGGTATATACACCTGAACCCATTTGCATTCAGGTCCCTACGCTACTGACTTGTCAGCGGCACACCCTCTTTCAGTTCGTGTCATGTCCCCAATCTTGAAACCTCGTATTATTTCAGCGTGTGGTCTGGGGTTGAGGTGTTGGATGCCAGCATGGATTCGGCGAGAGCACGAGCTAGGATCCTTGTACATTGTCGACCCTCCCCTCGCCCTTAAAACCCTCTTGTAAAGATCAAACACCCCGACCCCGTCACACTACATATTCCTCGCAGAATATGATAAATATGAGAAAGCGGGTGTGTTAGAGATCAGGGGAAAGCATTATTTGGAATCACCATATTTTTTGACCGTATCGCCCTAACCCACGAGCTCTGAGCCCTGAACATACATCTTTAATCCCTGAACAGTACTAGTAGTAGTAGTAGTAGTGGTACCCCAGCCTAGCCAATCCAACATTCAAGGAGTGGGTCTGACGCCAGTGGCGCACCTCCTCCCTGTGCAACTGCTGCTGAGTTTGTGCCCCATCTCGGCTGCAGGGTTCAAACAAGGCATACGTAATATGTGTACATAGCTTACTACAGCGGATTGATAGTAGAGTGTGTAGTTCATTTGCCGGGTTTTAGTAGCAAAGTGTCGGGTTTGGGTTCAGAATCCATTTATAAGCTTTAGGTTCTCAAGGCATTGCCTGCTTCGAGGTTCGTGTGCAGTTATAGCTGGTGCCATAGCTCGAAGAACTGCAGTCCCCTTACGAATCAGTTTTCATTTTTATCATCACATACCACTAGGGATTGTCATCATAGACCTAAGGGAACTACAGATAAGTGTACTTACACAACAATTTTTTCGAGTTTCTCATGACCCTACTGGCTCTACTTACAAACTCTCCCTGAACCTCCAAGTCGTACAGCGTTTCTGGGTTGTGCCACAAGGGTTTAGGGTTTAGGCCCTCAGGTAACCCTAGATGACCACATTGGTTCAGACGAGGGTTATACTGGTGCCATCTTGTGAAAACATTTTGGGGGGATACAACTTCAACCTTGGAGATATCCTTAGTTCCAAAATGAGGGTCCGCCATACTACTTTAAGCTTGAATTAAAACCATCCAACCTTCATCATGGTGAATGCCCAACACGAACCCTTGACCGTTTTTGCTGTGTACAGCCGTTGCGGTCCAGGCCAGCAACCCTAAACCCTCAAAACTGAGAATAAGTGTCTGCGTTCGGTCAAGCAGCATGGAAGCCCTTAAATTCACATCCTTCCAATCCCAGTGTTCCCCAAGGGCCCCTATGGGCATTCTTACTCTGGGAAAGAAAAACGCACCACAGCTGGCAATCTTTAGTGCCTAAACTTTTTTGCTTAAAGATCTAAACCCTAACCCGCAAGCCGGAAGCCTTAGGATATGAAAGTGCTGTAGGGCGCATTGGGGCGCACGGTTTAGGATCGTGGTTCAGGGCTTCAACACGATCAACGAGAGGGCCTCAAGGGTATTGCCTGCTAGCAGGGAACAGACGAATAGATCCCTATGGTAGCTCTGTGTAATCCCCTAAACCCTAAACCCTGTATAATCCCCCACAATACATGGTAGTTTCCATTTTTCTTTACTCTCCTTCATGAAGGCCCTTGAATCCAAGCTTTAGAACGAAACGGTACACTATTGTCGTCATGTCTTTTCTATTCCTTGAATTCCCCAACCTAAGCCGCAGAGTCTCTGAACCCTAAACCGTACAGTAGTTTCTCATGTGCATTTTACTCCTTTACAGTAGTTTCTATTTCATGTAGCATTCTTCCCCTAAGCAACCAGCAAACATAGGTATATAGAGGCAAAACAGCCAGTCGCCCTTGCTGGTGGTCCTCATAGGTTTGCACAAGTTGCATCAAAGCTTGCCACACAAGCACAAAAAGAATCTGCAAAAAAGCCGGTTGGTAAATCCCGACGCACTTTAGCTAGGACGGTTTTTGCATCATTTGAGCGTCATAGGGTCCCTATCTTGGGAGGTTGGGGATGCCAAACGCCTTTCATTAAAAGCACCAACGGCCAGACGCCCTAAACCCGAAATGCCGAACCCTTAACCTTAAGCCTAAATCCAACACTCCCGGAAATTAACATGGAAACCCAATAAGGGCTTTGTAAAGATTGCAGTCCCTAAAAAAGGGGACCCTATGGGTTTCCCTGTTAGTTTGTTAGAGTGTAAATTCTAAAGCCTGAAACCTTGGGTCATTCCCCCTCCCAGCAACTGTCCTTAAAAGGGCCTTATTAAGGGGGTTCTTATAACTCCTATAACCCATTGTGGTAACAGTTACTGTAAGGGGGAATGACCCAACTGAAACCTGAACAGCCAGGTACACAACCAGCGTGGAGGTGGAACTGGGCAACCGGGTGACGTTGAAGCTCACTGGCGCCCTAGCGCAGGACCCGGGAGCCATGTGAGCTATAGTCTAAACTCCTTAAAGTGGGGTTATATAGGGGATTATGTAGGGAAGCATTATGGGGCTTATTAAGGGGTACTAGGAGTTTAGACTGTAGCTCATGTGGAATAGGACTTATGAAGATTCAATCCTTAGGGGTGGGGCTTGAGCGTTTCACACCCAACAATGGAGAATTACATGCAATATGAAATCGAAGCTGGGATAGGTAGGGCTCATATGAGATCTTAATCACGGCTATTGGTGCGTGTATAGGGTTCCCGGTGAGTGCGTAGAGCGTCCTTAGGAGAATTTTGTTGGTGAGTAGTTTTCAACAGAACTTTTAGCCATTTTTGCCAGTGTTCCTGAAGAGTCGGCAAAGGCGTTCAAACTTGGTGTCGACCAAAGATTCTGCAACCTCATCCGACCTCACACCCAGTTTGGGTGGTCCCTTGAAGATCGAGAAACGATTAGCCTTTGCCATTCCAAGATTTGGAAGGCAATTCCCCATATCCAGCCTTCTAGGATAGCAAAGTTGTAAAGATCATCCTGTCCAGCCTCGCTGTTCCGAAATCTGAAGTCAGCGTTTCCGAGCTTCCTCCCCATGTGTTCGGGCAATTCCCGTCAAGCCTACATTGTAATTGACAGGACCCAATCCATGGTACCCTATCACTACTCCTTAAACACTGTGCCCTAATACCAGCAGTAGGTATACCAAGCATAATGACAATGGTAATAATTCTATTACTAGTAGAAATTGCAGCCATAGATATAGCAATAACTACCCAATCGGACGGTACTTGAACCCTGCCGGTTCGAGTCAGGGGCTCAGGGTCAAATTCAGAAAGCTTCTCTTTTTGCCTTGAGCTCTAAACCCTAAACCAGCTCTGAGTAAATTACCCTACGGCTCCAAATTGCACAATCTAGGTCGCATTCGTAGACATTATGGCCCAATGTAGGTTTCGCTGATAGACTTAGAGCCCTAAAGGATCCAAAAAATGGAACCTCCCAATAATTCCCTAGTTTCCCCAATGTAGTAATGGGTTCATATTTGGGGGGTTCCATTCTTTGGATCCATTAGGGGGTCTGGGTAGAGCCCTAGGGTTAGGGTTTGCGCTGCAGGGTTTCCGGTTTAGACCCCGGCTCTGACGAATAGCCGCGTGCAGTAGATACTTGGAGGGTCATTGGGACTTATATAGTAACTAAGTTCCTAATAATGGGGATAACTGCGGTTACTATAGGGGTTATAGTGGTTATTAACCTACTTACGAAGTCCCCCTGACCCTCCAAGTAAGGCATGAACGATTCGTTTACAACAGTCCGTCGCACGTAGGGCCAAACAAATATTTACCAATATTATCAGTTATTTTCGCGCTACACTCATTGTATCATTATGTTACAGGGTACCCCGAGTGGACTTCACAATGATCTTGATGATTATGCCGGCCTCTACATTCCTTTATACGGCTCTTTCTAAGGCAAGTTTCCTTTTCCATTTGCTGTTTACTATTGGTCAGTCTTGTGCCTTGAATCGAACTCTACAGTACCCTAGGCTTCTCCAAACAGAGTGGAGGACACAGATAGTGATTTCGGTTTAGGGTCTAGGGACGGGGGAGTTATCGTTTCTTCATGCTCCGTGACTGCACCAACCCAAAGGCACTTTGTTAAGCATGAGCATCAAAACGTGCATGCCACGCAGCCACGCAGTGCAATGGAGGAGGACTGTAAATTTCCTACGGTAGATGTGGGGTCCTTTTTTTGATCAGCTCCGGAACCAATGCCATCCTATCTTCTTCACAAGAGGTATTGTTTAGGTGGAACTCCTGCCCTGTAATCGTGGTCTGAGAGGAATAAGAGGACCCGAATATAGTGACCATCATCCCTTGTGGTCGCTATGGCAGGGTGGGGGGTCCACCTAGCGCATGATCATCTTCAGAACCCTGAACCCTAAACTGCGTGGACTCAAAGTGCTGCTAGGAGTTGGATCGCAGAGCCAAAGGCGTTCTTCTGGGCAAAGGCGCCTGACTCACAACTGCTGAAGATTTTCCGTTCCAAAGGTTTTAGAATCCAGCATATCTTAACGACGGATTATTCGCAAGAGAGCCTTCCGGTGAGTACTGTTAGATATCTTATTTGGCAGTACGGAATATGTACATTTGCCAGCAGCCGCTCCCAAATGTGCAGTACTGACAGTCGCAACTGCTGCCGCCACGATCACCGACAGCTTCCCCATGATTCCCATTACCACGGTGGACGGGGGATACTCAAAATCCAGCATGGCCCTAAGAACCTTATACCAAACGGAATTATGGTGTTATATTACTTATAGTAATGTCGTTGAGCAAATTTAGGTATCAACAGTATCACTTCCTCGCTGTATCGGCAATGGCCACGCTTATCACCCTGCTCACGACCCTGAAGAGACATGAAGACAGGAAGATGTCCTTTCAACCCCGTGTTCTTAGGTATCCGGTCTAGTCCTTCGCGGGGTGAGAGTACCACTCATGCAAAGCTCAGCGCTGGTCATGAGGATTGCGGGGCGTGGAGACCCAATCCGTAAACCTCATACCGGCTAAACCGAATGAGGAATATGAAGTTAGGTTGTGCTATGGTATCCGAGTATGGATGCTGTGGCATCAAAGTAGGTACGTCAAATATACTTAGGACCATAAGGGGTTCCTAAGTAGGCACTCTTGGCAGACCTATATGCATACATTTGACCCTAAACCCTTAACCCTACGCAGCTACTATTTCCCCCTAGAAGTCCTTGGCATCAAAGCTCTTTGTGGTGTCTTACGCAAGAAATGAGCGACGCGGGTGGATGTGTCCTTAGAGCCAAGCCTCCCTTGTACCCCCAAACCCCGGGGGGTTTAGGGCTTATAGTCCCCCTTAAGTAGATAGAATATGGCTTCGGGTATATTTTACTAAGATCCCTATATACCCCAAATTCTATCTACTTAAGGGAGACTATAGGGTTTAGGGGGCAAACCCTACCTAAGCCCTAAACCCTAAACCCTACGCACGTCTACGCCTAAACGTTCTCGGAGCCAGGCAACGAAGATTACGTGCTTGGAGACTTGACGAAAGCCCAGATACAGCGCAGCGTGGCCTCCCTGACTGGCAAGGCAAGGGGTTTAGGGTTTAGTGTCTAGAGGACCAGACCAAGACTTGGTGACATCCTCTTGGAAGGTTTAGGGTTAGAGTGTTACGATTTAGGATTTTTCGATACAGGGCTAACTATTTAGGATTGGTGATTTAGGCTCTAGGCTTCTTATGTTTTAGGATATGGGATTTAGGGTTTTGGACAGGGTCTAGGACTTTCTGGAGCTTAAGGGAAATAGAGTCTACCACGCCATTTATGGTGTAGGGTTTTTTTATGCTTACAGGTGCTCAAAGCAGACAAACGGTAAATGGGAACTGGAGGCTTTTAGGGACCAATGTGGCGGATTTAGGGTCTCTCTCTCTCTCTCTCTCTCTCTCTGCCTGCCTGCATATTTTATATACACGTACAGCAGGGTTTATGTTCGGGGGAGTGGGGGAGTGAATGACCATAAGAGGCAAATCAATAGAATTGTTCGAGGGATCCCCTCCCGCACGCCCACTTCAGCACCAGGAAGTGGCGTTAGTTTCAGAAGGTTGTGGGGTTTGGGGTTTAGAGTTTGGTGGGCCGCTGCCTAGGGTCCCCAAAATCAGGCTTATGGTGTTTGGGTTTTGGGTTCAGGGCTATGTGATCCCCCTTTCTTGCAGGGCTAACATGGCACTTTCTCACGGCAACCCTAATATAACATTCAAAGCGCGTTGATCCCCGATGATTCCCATATGTATTCCCAGCATACCACTGTTTCGAGAAATCCCAGCTGTAGGTTTAAAGGTTTAAGGGCTTGGCGCGGGCTTGAGGGTGTAGGTTTCAGGTTTGGATGCTCCTTGATTGACTGGGCGAATCAATCAGTAAATGTGAGTTACCCAAGTTCTTGATGTTGCCTCCAAATCAGCTAATTGAAAGCGCTCTCTCCATTCATAACTCGCAGCATGACAAGCTGTGAGCAGAAATCCCTTTGCAATGCATTTGTCTTAAACCCACTTCAAAACCAGGCCAGAAGGGTGTCGCAAAGGGGGGCAACAATTGCCCCTCGCAGGTTCACAAATTCAAGCTACCATGATTTTGGAGATCATTTGGAAAAATTGGCCTCATGCGCAATAAGCCTAAACCGTTCTTGGCGTCGCTAAAAAGTTGCTGGACACATCCTCGCACTTTCCCTGGGGCTCCCAGCTACCTAAATAGTAGGTTACTGGGCTATGTAAGTATCAGAACCCCAAAACCCTAATCCCAAAACCCTAGACCCTATATAACCCCGGAAGAATCCTGATAGCCCTGATATAATCCTTATATAGGACACAGAACCCCTTATTTAGGTGACTGGAGCCCAAGGGCTCGCTCTTTGACCAGGATAGCTACGAGTTCGGTGACATCAGCCGCGCTCTCCTCCGACACTTGCCACGTACTCACAATGACGTGGGTTGCTGTTAAGGAACTGAATTCAAGTTAC